AGGGGATTCTGATCCTTTTCCCCATTCACCTTAAATACCCAGATAACCTGTTGACAGCTTGGATGTAATACTATACAGTGTATATAATCACAGTTACCTTAGGTTCTATACTTGCCAACAATACACACTCTCAGTGTCTCCCCAACAGCGATGTATCCAATTGAATTAAATTAGAACTAGATAGGTAACAGCAGAGTGTAACACAATATAATTAATCATTATAACTTCTATTATTAACTAACAACAATGTAACTTTCATCCGAAACTGTTCTGAGCTTTACCTTAGATTCACCTAATGAAGGGTCTGCATTTACTACAAAATCTTTTCAAAATCTTATTTCTGTTTATTGTACTTAAATTTTTGAGTATGAACATAATGACCTAATTAAGTCACATAGTTTTCAATTTTCTTTTCCTGCAAGGGCACATTGAAATTGAACAACTTTTTTTTCATTAACTACTGCAAGAAAATTTCATATTGTGTATTGAAGGTCATTTTATTTCAGCAGATGGGAAATCGCTGCATAAGATTTTCACCATGAAGGTGTTTAATGTGTTTAATTGCAAAAAGATTCTCAGCTTGTCTTTTAACCCACTTGCTTTCTGTACTCCACTGTCACTCTTTAGTTCTAAGAAAAGGCCTGTTCTGCCATTCACCGTGTGACAACTTAATAGGGAACATGTGTTTCACAGTCCCAAATATTTGCATGACATCACCTATGCATAAGACATTTGGTCAGAATGAAACTTTAATGTGATCTAAAATCCAAAGCACAAACATAGTAAAAGTGAAGAAAGCAAAACAGTGTTCTTCTACAACAGCCACCATCGGTAACGTCTTTCTGGTGTATGTACTCTTGTGGATGAACTTAAAGTTGGCTTTTTAAAAATTAACATTCCCTAAACTACAGTATATCTCTTCACCTATTTTCTGCAGACCTGTAGCTCTTCCTCTAAGGGGAATACTAGGGTCAATCATCTGCATTGAAACACATGTTTATGCTTGGTGCTGTACCTCTCAGTCAAAGGCCTTCTCAAATTGCATTTACTGTACACAATACAGAGCAAAAATACCCTTTTAAATTCACATTCCTTTGTGTATCTGCTTCCAAGGGAAAAATCATGATGGTTTTGTAGTTACTGTAAGATCTTGGAAAGTGCTTATTTAAATTACTGTATATGCTGTGCCCTTGTTCATAGCAAAACATCGTCTGTAAAATATGAAAACGTAGACATTAGATTTAAGATACCTAGACAAGACAAGTTAAGATACCTGTACCTGCCTTCCTATTCTCTCCAAGAGTTTTCTGAGGATAGTCTGGATAAGAGTGCCTATCTTATAATGTGTCCATGCAGTTAGTTTTTTCAATGCACAAATCACAGGGTTCAAGAAAAATAGACTTTCTACATTGAGACCAAGGATTACATTGAACCCAAATGTCTCAGGGAGACACTACAAGCTGACAACAGAATTCCCTTTGGGCAGGACCTTGCTATGATTCTGACAGATAGAACTTTAGATGCCAGATTTATGCAACAGCGATGTTAAGAAAAGGTAACCATACTTTGTATTGTCAAAAATATAACATTGAACGTTATGAAAAAAGCAACATTGGAATTAGCAATCACCACCTTCAAATAAGTGTAACCAATAAAAGCATAACCCAAACTAGAAGAAATATAAAAAATATCCTTCAAAGAATTTGTAATGAAAGTTATTTTTATTTTATATAAATTCATATATTTAAAATGGATAATCTCAAATATATAAACATGACTTTTCCTTCCATTACACTTTTAATTCTAACAAAGAAGCAAACAAGATTTCAACTTCTTGATTAGCCAATTGCCATATAACACTGGACGCCATGGCAACCATTTGCTTCTGATTCAGGGAGCACATATTTACATACTTAAACTGTGCATTGCCTTTGTGCCTCCGATACTGGTCATGGAGATGAAGGGAAGCCAAAAGCAAGAGGTTTCCACTGCAATATTAGATCCATATTGGTATAGATTCAAGTAAAAGAACCTGAAGTGAAATAAAATGTCCCAGTTCATTTGCAGAATCTGTAGTCCAAGTATATTCAAAGTATATCTTTGCACATTGCACATTAGTATAAAGTCCAGAACACCTGAAAGGACAGATGAAAGTTTCCTAAATGCTTTGCTTAAAAACTACTGTATAACTCTGGTTGAACTGGGGCCTAAGGATATGACTTTGACATTATTGTTTAAAATAATGTCAGCTTCTGCTGCAAGAAAAACATGCATTGAAAAATCCAAAGATGAGAAAAATGATGACACAGGGATTTCCAGATGACATTTTAATCTGCAGCTCAATCTGTGTCTTTCACTAGAGAACACGCTGCTTTAATATTCTACAGATAAGAGTCAAATAGAATACTGCTTGGCCGAAATACTTCCAAGAAATTTAACTTAGGGTAGGTTTTAATCGATTAAAATAGGGCATAGTTCTATAAAAATGTAATTTAAAAATGCACTAAATTCAGAAATTCAGAAGTGAATGGTACAGTACTTCATTGTTTGCTGAAACAGGATTCTATGGAGATCTTAAACAGCTGGGATCCACTGTGTTTTACACTGCTATTCAGTCTCATTTCTTAAAGGATGTATAATTATCTAAGTAGGTCAGCAACAGTAAATGCTGCAAACATCAAATGCAAATGGGATGAGTTTTAACACTCTATAGGATGAAAAAAAACGCATGACATCATATCCTTCTAGGAAAATTGTATAAATCATACAATCTTACAAAATATAAATAATGCATATAAACTCTGTTTTACTCATGCCATTTTAACTAAACAGGAAATTTGAAAATATTTTTATTTAAAATAGAATATATCCTGTCTGAGATTTAATTAAGAATAATGCTATAATGAAAATATATACTTTGAATTTGTCCATTATTTTTTTTGTTTAAATCTTTCCAAATATTGTTCACTGTACTGTACACAAGAAAGTAAACCAACCACTTTTGAGCCCTGTCAGAGGTAATTTAGAAAACAGTGAGTCTTTGAAAGGCACAGTTTGTGCACTACGGTATGCTGTATACAAGATAACTCAAAAGTGCCACTTTTACCTCAAAACATATTAAAATAGTAGTATGACTTTCCCAGAGGAAGACTGTTTTGATGACAGATTATGATCTACTGTACTGTAATTGACTGTTAACGTTCTTAGCAAATGCTCTTACAGTAATTTCAGATTACATGATGCACAGTTCCGGTAAGAGAAATATAATTTAACTATGTACCTAGCAACAGCGAACACAGATTCCAGTCCAAAATACATCTTCACATTTGCCTGATGTTACCTTAGCAGAAAACACATATTAAATATAGAACTGCTGAAGAGTTACAACAACAAACCTTGTTCTAGTGTTGAGCTGGCACAACCCATGACAGCTAATCCACTTGAAAATGTATCCCATCACAAACAAGATATATTGCAGGAAAAATGTAGGTGATCCGAAGGTGACATCTCCATAGCCATCATCTTGCAATGTATGTACAACTTTTATTAATAATATACTCAAGGGCCTGGAAATTCCAAATTGTCATTGTTACCACAGCGTTTAGGACATTCATCCTAAAGACTCCATAATAACTGTTGGTCAGCAGATGTTTCCTAATCCTGCAGCACTATTCATTTACTGACAGACAGCTGTGGAGTGCTGGGAAACAATCGAGGATTACATTTTTTTTTTT